GTGTCACATTTTGGGAAACTTGGACCAGAGAAGTGGCAGTTGGGACCTTAGACTTGAATGAGGCTCTGGGTTCAAATCCCAGCGCTGCCACTGACCGGCCGCGTGACCTTGGGCACATCCCTGAACGTTTCTCTCCCCAGGTTCCCATCTCTAGAGTAGAGGCCACAGTACTTCATAGCTGCGGGGGTTCTTGTGAGGGTTAGAGTTCATGTATGTATAGAAAACAGTGCCTGCCCCATAGTAAGAGCTCAGTACACCTTGGCTATTAGTATGATCCTGTTTTTTGGGGTTTTTTAAAATCCTCACCGGAGGATAGTTTTCCATTGATTTTTAGGGAGAGTGGGAGAGAGAGGGCAAGACAGAGAGAAACGCCAATGTGAGAGGAACACATCGATTGGTTGCCTCCTGCACAAGCCCCAACCTGGGCCTGGCCAGGGCCTGCAACCGAGGTACGTGCCCTTGACGGGAATCGAACCCGGGACCCTTTGGCCCCTAGGCGGACGCTCTATCCACGGAGCCAAACCGGCGAGGGCTAGTGTGATCTAATTTATTACTAACGGCTCTTGAGAGTAAGGCTTTCTGTAAATCTCTGCATCCCCGATTCTGATCGTCAAAGGTTTAGAAAGGTTTTGAGAACCTAGGTTTCAAGTGAAAGGAGAGTAGAGAGCCCAGGGCCAAGATTTACAGATAGGACGATTCTAAGATTTCAAGGTTTTTAGGTTCTAAGATTCCACTCATTTCAGATTCTGTGATTCCCTGGTGTCAGACATTTCCAGACCCGGCAGTGCCATGGTTCTCGCTGAGTCCGGGGCCGAGATGTCACCATGCGATGGGGAGGTTCTCTGGCCCCGAGACCGGATGTAGCGTTTCCGATGTTTATCCGTCTTGACTCCGGGCGTGTGAGGCTGAGATTCTGAGAGTCGGTGCTTGAATGCTGTTCACAGACCTGAGCCCCGCGAGTCCTGGTCCCCCGGATCTGAGCTCTCCGGGGCGTGCGCGCTGGTGCGCAGGTGTGGGCTGCGGTTCTGCGGAGAGGGGCCCCTCCTCCGGCCCCTCGGCCCGCTGCCCCCTAGGGGTGTGTGTGTGTTTGGAGAGGGCGCGAAAGGGGGTCCCCCGGAGCTGATTCCGTGGCCCCCGCTGCGCCCCACCTTAGGCACAACGACAACAAGAGCTTCCTGGTGTGGGTGAACGAGGAGGATCACCTCCGAGTCATCTCCATGGAGAAGGGGGGCAACATGAAGGAGGTGTTCCGCCGCTTCTGCGTGGGGCTGCAGAAGGTG